TTCTTTGTTTTGGATTGTGGGGTGGGCAAAGCAAAGGATGAAAAGTCTTTTGGGTGAGATGGGTGGCCCTGAAAAGGGCCGTTTTGGGGAAGAAAAACTTTTCTGCTGCTGTCCAAGAAGAATCATCATGTCCAAGCTTAATGACAAGACAAGGATCGTCGAAGCGGTACGTGTAGCCATCTGGGTATGTCATCTGGGTGCCCTACGTGGCACCACTTGTGGGTCCAACAAAGAAAAGAAAATAATTTTGAGACGAGGATGCGCCGACTTCTGACAGAACGCCATCAACTCGGTTGGCATGGATTCCTTTGTAGAAGTGATGACAGCTGCTGCGTTCACCATGAAATCCTTCCGAAAACACGACCTGAAGCCCAATACCATCGCAATTCTTCCACCTCAAGGCTACCAACCCAAGAGAAACTATTCCCAGGCCTGTATGCACTGGCTCCATTATCTGATGGAAACGGACCCCCATCTGCACCTCCAGCACGCCAGGAATGGAGGTGAAAAAGAGTTCACGTGTGGAGAGGGCCAACATCGGTACAGTGTGGATGGCTACGATCCAGCGACAGGCACCATCTACGAATTCCTGGGCTGTTTCTGGCATGGATGCAAGGCCTGTCACAAGACCCAACGTGGAGAACCGCATCCTGTCCTGGGCACGTCGTTGGCAGCCCGTTACACCGACACCCACTACCACTTGAGTCTCATGAGTCAACACCCTCAGGTGAAACGGATCGTCACCCTGTGGGAGCACGAGTTTACGAAAATGCAACAGGTGGACTCCCTCCCTCCCTCCCTCCTCCTCCCTCCCTCCTCCTCCTCCCACCTTCCCCCCTTCACCACCACCCTCCCTTTCTATGTTTAGAACAACAACAACAACAAAAGATTTTTGACGCGCTTCTTTCAATGTCGATCCTGTTCACCTTTTACGTGCGCTTGTCCGGGTTTTCCCCTCCTCCCCGGAAACGGAGGCGAGGGCTTGGAGGCGTACGCCACCGGAAACAGATGCGACGCTCTCTTGGAGGCGTGCGCCACCGGAAACGGATGCGACGCCATCTTGGATGTGTGCGCCACCGGAAATGGATGTGCCGCCATCTTGGATGCGCACGCAGGACCCATCATGCACCGCGCAGGTCACGTGACCGGAAGTGCCGCCATCTTGGTACTGTAATCCTGAGCGGTACTGTAATCCTGAGCGGTACTGTACCGATGTACTCAACTACTGGTATGGTTTCTTATGGCGTGGCGTGTTTTTGGTCGGTGGGGGGGGGACGGGTGTCTGTGTGTGTGTGTGTGTGTGTGTGCGTGCGTGCGTGCGTGCGTCCGTCCGTGCCTGCGTCCGTGCCTGCGTGCGTGCGTGCGTGTGTGTGCTCGTCCGGGCAATTGCCGGTTTCATACAGCTATTTATACAACTGATCGATACCATGCCGCACCTTAACATGAATACCCCACTCAGACATAGTATACTGACTCAGAGAGCCGGTTTAGCCCCTTAATACCGAGCGCCGGGCAGTCTAACATCAAGTACCATCTTGTAACGTATTTGGTATGACGCGGATGCGGTCCGCCGACATGATACGAAACACCAGAACGCCCGATAGTGATCTGGTGTTTTACTCAACGCTCGCATGAAGTTCATCGCCTTGGTCAAATTGTTAGACAACAACAGGTACAGGTAGTTGTAAATTTGTCACGTATTGTAAATTATCGCCTGTGTAAATATTGACTTCATGTGAGGCTAGCAGCGAGCGCGTCTTCAGTCATTTGGTTGCTGAGATGTTTAGTCAAAGTATAGATTTAGGAATAAACTTGACTTGTGTTGCAATTTTGCATGTACATTGCATTTTTTTCCTCCCTGTGATCTGGATCCGTCAATACTTGTTCAGGTTTTCAATTGGAAACCGTCTTCAAATTGCTAATATGCCTTACAACAGGTAATTTGAATAAGTTGTGTTGAATAATGTGTGTGTGTGTGTGTGTGTGTGTGTGTGTGTGTGTGTGTGTGTGTGTGTGTGTGTGTGTGTGTGTGTGTGTGGATCAGCTCAGCAATATTCCCGCTGTGTGAATAGCGAGCAACGTAGGTACTTTGGCAGGGTATGGGTTTTAACAGGCAGTTTATATACGATATATTCCATGTGTTGAGTATATATATATTCACAGTGAAGTCAATATCAAATCACAAAACAGCAGCTTGGCTATTATTACTATATATGTCTGTCAGACAGTGGCATGACGTTGTGAATGAGGCGTGGGGTACTGCTGTCAGACCAGAGAGGTTGATCGATACGTAGCAGCTTTTGGGTGATTTGACTGGTAGTTGAAGCTGGAATGTTTTGTGTTAGTTTGGAACTTGGCCCTTGGACAGCGGCTAGGCGGGTTGGCTCTCTGACGCCTCTGAGATGATCCTGGTCATGTCTGTCATATTATTATTATTTTATGATAATGTAGCTGCTGTTGTTGTTATATCACGAATGGCCTCCTGTGATTGAAGGACGGATATCCCAATCTATTTTTAGTTTCCATATTCGTTGGTATCGACGTTTCAAGATATCTTAAACAGCCTGACCACAACATTCTAACACTGTTTAATCGTAACGAACTAGACATAGAAAAGGTTGACAAGGAAAACCAGACGCCTCATAGTGGCTTATTAAATAGCACTGCACAACTGCACAGTTTGTGTTCAGGCACGAAATCAGTATTTATGTTTACGTTGTGAATGCCTGAGTAAAAATAAGTTGCCATGACTCACCGACAACAGGTCATTTTGACACACTTAAATTAAATAAAGCCTCTTGATAGTTGATACCCTTAGGTTTTAAAGTTTGTACATAGTTGAAGTTATTTAAATTACCACATAAGAGAACACGTAGAGGTTATTATGGTAATGTGTAGTAATTAATGTAAGGTACGCTCTATATGTGAAATGTGTTTTACTGATTCTTGGTAACTTAACACTGAAGCTTCAAGTTTGTAGATAATGAAAAGTTTTTTATCTCGGAAATATGTAATACATCGCACGCGTCACCGGATAATGACGATGGTATTCTGTTGTCCTCGGGGTGGGGTGTTTCTATTATGTAAAGCTGTGTACTGAGACGTCACCCAAGTATAATTACCCATCTCCTTGGGCTCTGACGCCTTCTATACAACTTCAGCACAAACGCCCTGGGTCCTCATAACTCTGAAAACTCATGCGTAACACTATTCAGTAGCTTGTATAAACCGTGTGACTTCCAACCAACCAATCTATCACCATATGCGTAACAAGAGATTCATATTCACACTATTATGGAAAGACTCGATACAGAGTTATTATGCTGCATAATGAATACACAGCGCGCTGTTCAGATAAAGACAACCCTGCACAACATATAACCACATGATACAGTAAACTACGGTTATAACGAACTCAAAGGGACCACTAGTTTTAGTTCGTTATAACCGTAGTTCGTAATAAGCATATATACAGCATAACTTTGTTTTATATATACAAGTAGCAATACCCGACTAGCCTGTCATACATACTTATGGGACAGTTTTCAATCGTGTACTGCCTTACTCTGGTGTTCCTGAGCGAAGCTTATTGGCTTGAGTGTTATACCCCGTTTTACTGGTAATCCTATTATTACTTCATCCTGTTCTCTGGATCACGGCTCCGTGACTATCCATAAAAATTAAGATGAACATTCAGATCAAGTACATGAATGAGTTTGGTTTGACGCCCCGGTCAATCAAAGACCAATGCTGTGCGGTTTGATTACACACTTCTACCAGGTCGAACATCGTGGATCTTTATTTTCTACCTAAAGAGAATCATAGTTCCATCTACGAAAACCGTCCCGCTCAAGATGACCTTACTTGTTGTTTAATCCATCATCTATCCTCCTGCTCTCACTCTTACTACAGCAGATTTTAGGGACAAAAAGGTAAGTTCGTTATATCCGTCAGTTCGTCATAAAGGTGTTCGTTATAACCGTAGTTTACTGTACTTTAAAATATTGTAAGTTCGCTGTTATGTACAAGAACGTTCCTTTCCTACCATCGTCAGGGAATTCGAAAGGTTATATATTCTAAGTTGACTGAACACACACACATTGTACTAAAAACTTACAGGTCAATATATATACCTGAATATGAAAGTGAATTTGTCACTTTCTTTTGACAGAGTTGCATTGTTTGTATAAATATGTCTAATACTTCATCGATTTAAGGTATTTACATCGTTCATTTGAGCACTGGAATATGTACTGTGTTTTTTTTATTCTGAGTCCTTGGTTGCACGTTATTAGCTGTGATTGCATTTCTACCTGTTTGTTTCAATGTTTTTAGAATTTTACCAGGTATAAACGTTTCCTGCTTTATGTCACGCTCAGCAATATCCAGCTGTATGACAGAGAGCTGTAACTCATCGAATTTGGTCGAGACAAACACTTGATATTTTTAGCAACGATCCACGCCGTCTGGTAACATTGACATGAAATCATCACATGGTGATCACCGAGCCTGACCACCTAATCCCTTAAGCCGCTTCGTACGACAAGCATAACTAACACTTGTAATCATTTCTAACACGCCATTTCCAACGACGGTTTATGCATAGACAATACATAAACACTAAACAAAACACAAAACAACACAAAAAGGTCTTTATTTTTCTTTAATGTAGTATTATATCCACTGATAAATGGTTTTAGTTTGGCATACATTAGGATTAGCTTTGTCAAAAGCAGAGTGTCTTGTGTATGTAAGTGTATATTTAACAGCGCATAAAGCCACGACGCATTAAGCTGTCGGTGTTGAAGTAATTAGATGGATTTAATGTGGTTTGTCGAAAAGATGCAACGATATCACTGCGTGAGACTGAGCTTTTAATGTTCAGATCAAATCTGGACTATGTGCAATATGCGAAGGCAGAACCGTCCTTGTGATCACTACTCTATCGTTGCTGTAAAAGGAAATATTCTGCAAGTCTGCTCTAATGACACGAAGACAGGTTCCATGGTGTAATATTTTATTAAAGTATAAGGAAAAATATACAAATGATTCATATATATATATTTTTTTTAAGAAAACATGTAAACGAGGTGGTGGTTAATATCACATCTCTACAGCTTGTTTATATTACAGTCTGCCGGACAACATAAGCGAAAGGATTGACAATGTTAAAACAACACACAGGTAATCGCCATATTGAATATTACAGTGCCAATGACTTTACACAGACTATTTTCTTAACAATTTTGTAATATAAATTTATTTACAGCAGTCTGGTTTAGAAGTCATGAAGCACTTTAACAGAGCACTCGCATATGCCGAACAAAGGGTTCTTCACTTGGTCCCCGATTCATCTATAACACACACACAAAGATTTCAACATGTGTATCTCTTTCACATTTTACCCAGTAAAAAATATCCAATGGTTTAGTAATTATGTCTTCTCCCAAGAAACGATTGACTGTAAATTTCTAAGAGTTGTGCTCGTGTAAAGTTTAGGATGACGTTTATGATAAATTAACATTGCATCGAACAAGAATATAATCTGCGTAGATGATGACGGTATTCTTGCTATTAACTTATTAAAAGTATGCCATTATGTAATCACTAGTAACATACAAAGACTGGTATCTTAAAGAATCCATTGATACCATTTTGTTCTTCAGATCAAATATTTAATACCATTATGTCTTAGTCATAGATAATGCCTAATTTTAAGCAATTGCCTGATGAAACAGACACAGATATTGATCACAAAATCACAGATGTGCCACATGTACACCGTGGCATTGTCATGATATTGTCATGTGGTTTGACGTTAGAACTGGTGTGTATTCTGATATGTAAGATTCTGATCATCAATATTTCAATACTTTGTACACGCTACGTCCCTTCACCATTAGGTTCATTTGGCCTTCCATGCGTTCTGACGGCAATATTTTATTAGCGTGCCCAACATAGATACCCGATACTGCTTCACTGCTGTTGATTTTTCATTGGTATTAGTGAAACGTTCAGTGTATACAAACCGTGAACTATAATATGTTAAGATGCGAAGACATGCCACTAACGTAACAATGTGCGATGAGTTATATACAACTGCTTCCTACACCTTTTGTGCAATGGGACACTTTGATTATCAACTCATTCAAGATTAGAAAAGTGACTATAACGAGGTGTAACAACGTATTTGCGTTCTTCGTGTAAAATAAGCCGCTGTATAGAATGCAGCATTGCCGAAATAACGACGTTGTGTCATTGCAATGTTTATCCATACTGCATGAGCATATAATCTCATGTCCATGTCAGAATATTTCCTTTTGAGTATCAGTAGCAAGAAACTGGAGTTAAAAACAAACAAATAATCGTCAAAAGTGGACGTGCATCTCACAGAAGTTTCAATATCTTACAATAATCCTTCTCGTGGGGGTAATTATTTCCGCATGCCATCAATGCCAGTTTCCTCTTAAACCACCATACATGCACTTTACATGATATCAGTTGAGTCAGTGATGGTTTTATTGACAGAGGCGTACAACTCCTCAAGGCCTTTGGTTGCCTGATAATCCTGGGTATCTGCGTCGCTCACCGTCGGGGTCACAGATTTGCCGGTGCTGTTCGTGGCATGGTAGAGGATGTTGTCGAAGGCGTAGCCATCTCCATCCTGTTTCTCTGTCATCTCAGTGTCTGGGCTCTCGCGACCTCTTAGCATCTCTTCGTCAGACTTCCCTTCTGACCGATTCCTGAAACGTGGGACATAGTCTGTCAGAACCTAGGACCGACATATGAGTCTCTAACACGTACATAACTTGGCAAGTATCACCAGAAAAGCCCCATGAAAAAAAATCGAATCCGCAATGTCACCGTAATTCTGGACATGAAAGTCTGTCACATGCCTGTGCTCGAGGATTTCACCAAATGATCAAACTCTACGACCTGTGTCAATTTGAAGATACCTCCTCTATGAGGAAACTAGAAATAAACAGCCCTCAGAGCGACGTTAAAACAAACGAACTGGCCCACTCTTGTCGAACACCATTGTAGCCTTTGGATATTCAATATGAAGTCTGCTTGAACTTTATCATTCTAAATATGTATATACAGGTACATATTCTTTCATTTCATTTATTTATGTCATTTCTCTTTGAACAGAATTCCCTTCTTGGGGGCCATTGTTTTATCTTAATCGACAAATGTTAGTTTAGGATAACTAATGAGGTGATGTTAGCTTTATCATCATCTGTCTACCCACAGTCAACCCTCATGTTTTGTAAATATCATGCATCGTGTTATGGAACTAAATAAATAATAAAGTGTGCACCCTATTAATGCATTAGCGCATGCTTTCTCCCTGCTACAACACTGGCAGACACTGTATCGCAGATTTAATTCAGTTTTTCTTTTATTCCACACGAGAATAAAAGCGACAGAACTCTTTCCATAACCATAGGAAAACTTAAGCATATTGTACGATTCCGACTATATTATTAGCATGTGTTTATGAATAGCTGATAGTGTTGACACCAAGTGATCGTGAAAAGTGAGCGTATCCTGCCCCAACGGCGGCACCCATGAAAACACATGCAAAGGCAAGCAAGTTGCTTATCCTATAAAACACGGGAACATATGGTAACAAGTCAAAATAATAATATTAGAGAATTGTATCTCACATCATCTTGCGTCAAATCTGTACATGTCCTCCACATGTCTACCAATCAGGCTTTTGAAAGCTTGCTTGCCATATAATTATGCTTGTCTTACCTGCTCGTGCAGCATGTGATGATGATGACCAACAAAATGATGACGACGATGCCAGCAGCCACTCCACCAGCAACCTCAGGCACTGCAGAATATATAGGATTCATGACATCGATGCAAAATAACAGAATGTGCTGCCCTAAGATATAGATCTTAAACGAAGCTGAATGATATCTGTCTTTGGCGCCTAGTTCAAGAGGGAAACGTTTACAACGTAGCGGGTTTCCATATAACTGAGAAGAGAGACAAAAATCATTATGTTTACACTGGCGAATATTACAAAAATGAGTTTGTCAGTGAGTAAATGAATGCTGGTTTAGGCGACCACCAGCAATATTCCAATGCCACTCGATCCTCATAAGTTGGCTCCGACGACAAGTACCTAACAAAATGGAGCCGGCATAAGCCATGTCGGTACATTTCTTTTCCAAATCAACATGTCCAATAACTTTCATAAACAATTGTATTTCATGCGAGTCAACACGAACCCATATTTTACATCCTAGTTTCTAAGTTTCATTACCATACTCTCAACTGCTCAGAACAGATAGTTATGTCACCCTTAGTCCCAATTCACCGTGTGAATAACCTTCGCCTGCCTGTTCATGTTATTTTCAATTTGGTTTCATTGCATAAAGAAAATGTGTGTCATGGAAGCGATTTTTTGTGCTGGAAATTGATAAGAAAATAACTAACGAGCTACGAGGAATGACATATTATTTGTCCCGTCAAATAACTATGCAGTGATTGAACATCATTTCACGAGAGACAGACAAACCGCAATTCCGACTCCGCGTGTCATATTTGTAAAGCATGACCAGAGTTGTCTCCCTTGGGGAAAAAAGTCAGCAGACGGTAAACAAGGCCACTGAGAAAATGGCAGCTTTTGGAAAAAGAGAGATTATGTCTGATTTATACAATAAAAAATCAGATCAGCACAAGTGATTACAGAGAGAACAGACATTCCACTATCAACTGTGTACCGTGTTTTGAAAATTATTGAGAGTGGAGATGGAATTGAGCGCAAAAAGGGAACAGTTAGGTCAAAGAAAGTGACTGTTGTGTCTGTTGGCGTCTAACAACAGACGCATGAGCATAGAAAATGTTAAGCATAAAATCATTAATAGAGGAACAGTTCATGTTTATTAAGAACGCATTTGCATGCAATAGACTATGTTTGAATCATAGACATTTCAATTTCAATTGGGACAATGAGACAATGTTCTCAGGTTAATGTTCCGTGTGGCTATATCCAAACTTCATACAAATGTACAGTCCTACATATCACTTCCTTGATAGACAGTATGCCTCGTCGCATTGAAGCATGTAGTGGCAAAACATGTGGTCTGACACACTATTGAACAGTTTACTGCTTTGTACATCTCTTGGTGTATGACTCAATAAATCTATAATTTACAATGTTCTCATTCTCAATAATTTCTGGTCAGACTATATATTATATACTTTAGGTACCATTTACCAACATTATCCACTTGGACAAATCTTGTTCACAACAAAGTATCACAAAAGCAAAAGCAAAGGAATCATTCAAAGTTGCAGACATCGTACAACAAATATACTGGTATATATAATTCTTATTGACAAACATATATCTCCGGAGACTGGTCCCTGGAAACTTGTCTTCTCGAGTAACGTCATACCTAACATACCTATACACTTGTCATCTTGAGTGGCAATATACCTAACATACCTGGACAATTGTCATCTTGAGTAGCATATATATCTGACGTACCTGGAACTTGTTTTCTTGAGTAAGACCATACCTAACATACCTGGACAATTGTCATCTTGAGTAGCAATATATCTAACGTACCTGGGAACTTGTCTTCTTGCGTAAGACCATACCTAACATACCTGGACAATTGTCATGTTGAGTAGCAATATATCTAACGTACCTGGAACTTGTCTTCTTGCGAATAACAGTATACCTTATATAACTAGACAATTGTCATCTTGAGTAGCAATATATCTAACGTACCTGGGAACTTGTCTTCTCGAGTAACATCATACCTTACATATCTGGAAAATTGTCATCTTGAGTAGCAAATATAGCTAACGTACATTTGTACCTTCAATTTGTCTTCTCGAATAACAGCATGCCTAACATAACTAGACAATTGTCATCTTGAGTAGCAATATATCTAACGTACCTGGGAACTTGTCTTCTCGAGTAACATCATACCTTACATATCTGGAAAATTGTCATCTTGAGTAGCAAATATAGCTAACGTACATTTGTACCTTCAATTTGTCTTCTCGAATAACAGCATGCCTAACATAACTGGACAATTGTCATCTTGGGTAGCAATATAGCTAACGTATCTGGAACTTGTCTTCTCGAATAACAGCATGCCTAACATAACTGGACAATTGTCATCTTGTGTAGCAATATAGCTAACGTACCTGGGAACTTGTCTTCTCGAATAACAGCATGCCTAACATAACTGGACAATTGTCATCTTAAGTAGCAATATAGCTAACGTACCTGGGAACTTGTCATACAGTGATTGCGTTGATCCTGCGACAGGGGTTGAGGATGTCGGGGTAGGTCCGGTCGGTGCCTGTGTGGGTGGCGCCTGTGTTGTAGGCCCTTTTGTGGTCTGTGCTTGTGTACTGGGTGCCTGTGTTGTCGGTGCTTGTGTGGTTGGTGCCTGTGTACTAGGTGCCTGTGTGATTGGTGCTTGTGTACTAGGTGCCTGTGTTGTCGGTGCTTGTGTTGTTGGTCCGGGTGTACTAGGTGCCTGTGTGGTTGGTGATGATGTTACAGGTGCTTGTGTGGTTGGTCCGGGTGACTGAGTTGGTCCTTGTGTGGTCGGTGCCTGTGTGGTTGGAGCTGGTGTTGTAGCGGCTTGAGTCGTAGGTGCAGGCGTAGTTGATGGCGCAATGGTTGTGGCGACTTGGATCTTTGGTGAACACGTTATCGTTATCGTTGACCCTGAAGAAAACATGAAAATAACGATCAAAGGTAACTAAAGCTATCAATGCAAACATATAACAAAGCTCATCTATTGAACTATGATGATCATACCTTGAGAGAGGACAAAGCCTGCATATGCTTCCTAGCGGGCAAAATCTATAGCGTAGTAACTACATTGTACAGATAAATAGTCACATTTTATTTATTGTTTTACATTTATTTTGATGTTTCTTATTATTGTGAAATCGTTTCGTTGCTTATAACCATAATAAGTTTATATATACTCATAATAAGTTTAACAATATGTATTAGTATGTTGATAGCATATACAAAAGACTAAAGTGATAAATACCCGTGGCAAAAGTGCGCATCATGACACAGGAGTCGATGGTTCCGGGACCAGTCAGGTTATACATGACTTCCGTGTTTGCTGCCATACTCCTGCTATACGATGCATCCTGCAGACAGTGTATGCTGTAGATGTTTGAATCCTGGCTTGACATGCGTTCATACACGTCCACTCGTACTGAACAGTCACTGAAGGTAGTGCCCACTATAGCATATATCTCCACCTCTCCAGTCCTAGAGCTAGTGGCGGTACAGGAACACAGCTCATTGCCCTGGACGGTGGTGTTGGCCTCGATGTAGAGGGTGCTCCCCGTTATTGTTTTGCTCTCACACATTGGGATAACTGCAATACAAACACATTACAAAGACATGTGTGTATTAATTAATCACAACTTTCATTTCCACAATGCAGGTGACGTTTAGATAAAAGCGACAAAACCCTTTTCTTGTAAGCATATGCATTGCATTGAAATAGTCCATGAGCATGTGTTTTGTGGTAGACATGTAATGGGCGGATACAGCTTTTTTGAAAAGGGGGGGGGGGGGGGGTGCACAATTAAGATCTATTTATTGTCTTTAGTGGTAATTTATACATTCTATTGACTCTTGTCACTGACCGATTAACTAGTCATTACAGGTAAACTTGCAAAGTAAGGTATCGTTTGTAAGAGATGAGAATACTTTTTCGACGACAGAAGTCATGAATGATATTATGTGATAAAAGATTATCACGATATGCAATCCGTCGTTTTCTGAATACACTGTCCACTCATACTATTGGTCATAGACAATGTCATTTGTATCTGAAAAACCTACCTCTCATTGGCGGGAACATAAATAACACTTTGAATGTCTACAAGCGGGGGGGGGGTGGGGGGACGGGGGATGAAAACACTCATCTGAACTTCAAAACATATATTAATGTGACCTAAACAGGGTAAATACAAGGAGGCATACGGCAGCAACTGTTGACGATTGAACAATATGGCTGTAGACGTTTCTTTGCGCCAATGCATTATTCACATATAGTATACATGTAAGTATAATGCAGCTAACAACAGAAGAATCAGGGGAAAACACAATATTTCTGCAGCATTCATGTAGGCGTTTGCACTCATTTATAGAAATATCTGAACAGCAGCTTACCTTTATCACGGTCCTGGAAACAGGCAGCTGGAACAAGGAAACACTGTGATTAATAACTCATAAAAACGAAGTCACTTATACATAATGGCTAAACTATATCAAACATCATCATGATACTGTCATTGACCAAACAACTTTAAATGTTAATGCAATCTTATTGTCATTCATTAAGTGAGTAATTGAGATAGTAATATTCCAGCAATAGCAAAGAGAAGGAGGGGGGGGGGGGGGGGTCCATGAAATGAGCTCTACTCGTTTTGCCTATGAACCAACGCTTGAACTACTAGGCTACCGATACGCCCCCTCATTCATTGGGGGCGGTTGGGGGGCCTAGCAGTTAAAGCGTTCGCTCGTCACCCCAAAGACACGGGTTCGATTCCCCACATGGGTACAATGTGTGAAGTCCATTTCAGGTGTCCCCCGCCGTGATGTTGCTGGAATGTTGTAAACCCGGCGTAAAACCATGCTCACTCACTCACGTTCTGTTTCATTGGGAACTAATAAAGTATTTTTGTTCATATAGACTGATAACTTTATGTTACGCATGTGTATACATTCTCAGAAAACACTTGAAGCCATCATATTTCAGAATACATTTTCTCTAACAGTCAATCTAATTTTCATTTGTTTATATAACACTGAATAGATTAAACATTCAGCATAAACTCGCCCCGGCGTTTTGCATACTCAGGACACAAAGTTATGTAATCCTCAACCGGGTACTGCAATATATATCTCAGTTTTATGCGCACATTCCAACGCAAAACCCGCCCGTCGGTATTTGCCTCAACCATACCAAACCAGTTTATCAAGTCGGATTATTGCATCACACCAGAGACCGTATAATCTATTATATGGTCTCCGGTCACACGTACCACTCCACGGCCCAACCCACCACTCCTGTGTTTATTTGAACTAACTCAAACCTAACTTGAACAGACGCAGTTATATTTCTAGGCACTGGACGCTATCTGGGCCCTTCCACGCTCTAAATGATAAACTCCATGATTCATTCGAAAAATGTGTAGAAGACAGTTGACAAGAAGGGGTCTACGTATCCGATGTCCTACTGGCTTCATGGACATAGAAAGTGTAGCCTTTATTAACTGATACTGGAGGACTGTGTTTATCTGAGTGTATCGAAGCGTGGACGGGGACAACTGACCTGGCATTTCGCGCAACAAAACATTTGCCTCCTTAGCCAATGTGAGGCTATTTCATTTTTAAATAAGTAAATAGTTGGAAGCGATGAATTGAAATGTAAATATCTGTAAAAGAAATATACTCGTCTGAGTAATCTCATATGTGTATCATATTCGATAAACTACGTTTATGTGGTAAGAGGGAGAGTGGGTTCATGTTGTATGACGATACGGTCAGCAGTATTTCATCTATCATACGGCTGCTTGTTAATAATCGAGACAGGACCAGGCAAGCCAAACATGAGCGTTGAACCGCAACATCGGGACACCATGACACACAGTCAGCACAGTCTCATGCCAGACAAGACGATCAAATTTCGGGATCTCTAAAAACAATCAATAGAACTGTGGGGGTCTAGTCTAACCCGGGTCACAATGTAAGTTTTCAATTTAGTTAATACGTGTAGTTTGCTCTTTTAATCAAGACAATTATTAGCATGCGCACACACGTGTTTGAAGGTAAATGTAATTCATACAAACGTTCATGTTTTGACCAGTGGATATATCATATATCACGACCTTTCTAACCCATTTCAGGGAAAAAATGTTTTACATTGAGGAACCGTGTGTGATTTAATTAATCGAGGTTTTTTCACACAATTGTGACATATCACACAGATAACACGAAAGTCTATGATACAGAACACCTTCACCCAGTCACCTGCTGATCTGCTGAAATAAATCCTGATTATTTTTTATTAATTTATCATCACCATTGTTATATTGTTTTCACTTTTTAACCATGTAATATGAAGATATAACTACAGGTTTTTTAATTAAGTTCAGTTTACAGATGCTTTTAAAAATGTTTTCAGTCATCTCTTCAAATAGCGTCAGCTTACTGTGGGAGTATGAAATTGACTCACTTGGGTACAATGCTGACAGAACAAGGACGATAAACCGGGTGCATCTGGGATTCGAACCCATGACCAGGGCTGTATCGGTCCCATTGCGTCTGCATGTTTATAAGCAGTAAGATATGGGCAGATTGAAAAGATTGATTATTTGTATACATCTCTTGCAGTTCTCATGCTTTACAAGAATATTGCGAGCAATTGTATTCCCAACGTCGCAAAAAGAATTCATTGTGGTATTTAATTGCCCAAACAGGGGATCAAAAGGGACCTACATTGTCTATATATGTGCTTCCTGTGAATGATTTTTAATGTAGGTGTTGAATCAATGTATATATTGTGTCTTCTGAAGTACCGATGTGTATGAAGAATTATCTGATTGCCTTACTAGGTAAACTAGTTCTAGCTCTACAAGCTCGGTTTTAGTAAGCCGCAGGCTAAAGTTTGAACCTTTTGTTCCTGACATAATCTATTGTTATTTCACAATGAGGCCTACCATGGTGACCCCGTGTTAGAATAGATCCCCAGCAACCTATGTTGGTCGTTAGGGGTGACTTGATGGATCGGGTGTTCATGCTCTGTGACTTCATTGATTGTGCATCACAGCGCCCGATGGCGTGGATCGTAGCTCATACTATCATTCACTGGTTTATGTGGTCAAGGCTAGACTATATACAGGCGGCCGTCATAATGACTATTGCTGGGTGTGACGTCAGACAACAACGAACACAACAAAACACTGCATGTCTAAACCCAGCTGTAAGCTATGCACTGATCAATTGACTTACTACACATGCATGTTTTAGTTAAGGTGTTATGAACTCAGAAGAGTTATTTCTCACGCGGAATATATTCCCACGACAAGCTTACATTGCAATGGAAAATCTTTGAGGTACACAAAGTAGTGTTAAACGAGGTGAGCACCTTGATGACCCGCGTAGTTTGTTAAATCGAATATATTATCGTATTTCCTGACGTTTGTTAAACGCATACATACTTGATCTTAGTGTGTACAAACATCAATCTCATTCCAATCAGATCTTAGTTCTCGCTATCGTTAACAAAGTTTTTCGGTAGCGAGAACTTAGATCTGAATTTAATGAGTTTGTACAAAGATGAACATGTATTTTGGAATGATGTAGACCAATTATACACACACTTTGTAGACTATAACACATAATGGTTTATGTTTTATATTTTAACATATATATCTTGTGATATCTATGTTGTGATACCAAGATATGCTATGTATAATTTAATTCTATAATTTTAATACATAAATCTATTTTGTAATAAGTTATGCTGATTCCTATGTGGTGACCCATGTTATAATAGATCTATAACTGTAATGCTTGTCGTCAATCTCATTAAAACCAGATCTTTGTTCTCTCTACCGCTAAACAAAGATCTGAGGACATCCCATTACGGGTCACGTCAGACAGTTGTCTCGTGCTTTACGGCACTTATTTCAAATTGGCGACTACACTTCGAAACATATTTCGACAAATTCTCTTTTTGAAATTTGAAACCTGAACAAAAGAACATTGTGAATGGTTAATAGATGGTCCAGATGGTATGGATTCAGTCGTTAAACCGTAACTATCGTTCGGAATTCCCCGTGTTAAAGTTTTTGAGGTTGCATGATTAGATATCACATTCCGACTGTCACTTTCATGATCTGGTAAGCGACGCTCTGATTGGTTGGATGAAAGTTTGTTCTGACGTGACCCCCAATGGGATGTCCTCAGATCTTTGTTTAGCGGTAGCGAGAACTAAGGTCTGATTTTAATGAGAATGGCTTGTGGTAAAATGATAGGTGACTAATTTGAAAGAGGTGGTCAGGCCTGGTGATATGGTTGATTGCGTGTCTTTCTACACCGTGGGTTGTTCTCCATAACATGATGTCAACACTGGTTTGTCTGGTCCAGTCCGTCATGACATAACTTAGCGTTACATAAATGTACATGACATATGTAGCTGCGATATCCTTGACTGCGTTCACTCACCCCGGGCGTTCTACAGGAAAATAATGTTTGCGATTATGAGACAGAGATACTTTATCTTTGAACAATGAGGATTCAGTTTCGTCGAGAGTTATATATCCATTGTTTGATTCGGGTTTGTTTATCAAGGAAATCGTCTCGAATATCTGTCGAAACAGATTCCATCGGTCGTAAAAAAATTAATAAAGATGAGTCATGTGAATGGATAACTGAAAATCAGTGAAAACACTGATTTGGTAAATTCTTGTGAATGTCTACAATAAACTTTTTTGAATGACCTAAGGGGGCCAGTGAAACCTTAATTAAAATGTATACTTGTAAGCAAATGTTTCTTTCCATTCAGTTTGAATAAAATAAACATGTCCTAACGTTACGGTACCTAAGCAACTGATAAATGTAGACGCCATGAGCCGGAGCTGAAGGTATATAGCAGGGGAAATTTACTATTGGAAATCCTTAAGTCGTACAGCTTGGTACAGGGGCTGGTATTATATTGAAGCCACGGACAATATCATGGTACCTCATTGTAGTCAGTGTTAAGGCAAATATAGTGTAGGTAAACAGCACGACGAGAAATTCCGGACCAGCGTCAGAATGGAGCTATCGATGTGTAGGCCATATTGTCCAGCATTTGACATTGTGGTGATAGACAATACAATCAATACTTATACCTGCAGAGTAAAAAGGACTGTCACACGATAATAGCATTTGACCCGAGGATATGTTCGATCGATGTCAAGTAATTCTTATTGATGTCAACAATGTCACATACATAATAGATTTATGTTGGGGGGTTTTGTATTCAGTACGTAAATTGAATGATCGGAATGAACATAAAATTGTCAATTGGTTGTCATGAACTTATTACACAGGTCCATGAACTAAAATGTTTAAAACGGTCATGAATATAATAGCGCACACAATGTACACTCTTCAAAAAAAATAAAAGCAAGGGTAGTATGTAGTTC